CTTTGGATTTCGTTTGAAAAGTTGTAGTTGTTCAGCTTGCAAAAGCTACATCATCCATCAAAAACCATTCAGGCCTGATTTGCTCAACAGTTCCCTGAAGCGCAAGATACGAAGTCTGAACATGGGCAGGGCGGAGTAACGGTCGCGGACCTCATGGAGTACTCGAAGCCACGGGCACCACGCGGACAGGGAGCTTTTCAGCCATGAGCCCTGCCTGGACGAGAATGGCGGTCCAGCGTTCAGCAAACCTCATGGCTGACAACTTGAGGATGAGGTACATGGAGAGGCCAGCAGATGGTCTAGATTCAGAATTTTAACCAATTGAAGCAACTTCCCAAACCATCATGGCTTGACCTTCCACTTGTTGCCTATTATATAAATAGGTTCGACAGCACACCATCGTCAAAAGATGTCAAAGATGTCGTCTCTTGGGTTGAGTTCAAATGGCAGGAATCAAACATTTTCCTCTTGACCCTCCAGCGGGCGGTGGAACACCATCCGTGAAGAGATGTGAGATAGATCGCCACTGCCAGCAGCTTCTCTGTCTTTGCACAGGATTGATCATGCTTCAGGCCCGAAAAGACAACGACCTGTTTTTGAAGTATGTCCTGTCCTTTTGGTTGGTAAACCTGGCGAGATTCCCAGTAGACCATTTTTCTGGAGAGGGGTATGAATATCAGAAAGGACTTCTTGGTGGTGGACTGCTTTTGACCTGAAGAAGAGCACCCTTCATAACCCACAGACATGTCACCAAATAAAGGGAAAACCGACAAACAGACGCTTGAACTGAATTCACTGGGACATCGGATTAAAGATTTGTCAAGAAGCGTGACTTGGCTTCACTGGACGAACAACGACGAACACACATCTTTCAACAGCCAAAGGAAGGACCCTGAATGATTGTGAAAGAGGCGGGCCCTAAATGCCCATTGAGAAGCTACTAGGAGCAAAAGGCATCGCTACTAGGAGCAAGAACGCTACTAGGGGCTCCTGGCATCGCTACTAGTAACAAGAACGCTACGCCCTAAACCCAATGAGCTCATGATGAAAGACATGCCACCAACGACTCTGACTGGGCGTCTGAAGGTCGCAGAGAAGGTGCGGTCAAGATGTTGGACCAACGGAGAACGTGCTCGCAGAGACTCCAAAGGAGGCTTTTAACGAGTCGTTTGAAGTAGAGGCAAGTTAGGCGACGAAATTGAAAAGGTGCGTTTGGATTAGAGCGACCAATGTTTAGCACCTGCGCAGATGACCCCAGTTGATTTAAAAGGATGTGAGAGGGCATTCCTGCAGAGTAGCTGCTAGGGTATGCAAACAAGGCGACAGCACACATAGCACACTAACTTGGTCTACACACAAAATATAGGAACACCACACAAACTTCTTGCCGATTTAGAATGATTTAGATGTTGGATGATGGACTTTGGAACTTCTCCCCATAGAGCTACCTCCGTTTGCAGCACATCAGCCACGTGAGTTGAGCTATCCTGCGTCTAGTAGCTAGTAGAGGCTAGTTGCGACTAGCCCTTAATTAAGAACAGTTTGGAACTTCAATCCTACCTCAGTGTCCCAAAAAATCTAGGAACCAAATTACTATATAATGCGAGCGCTTCTTCAAGGAAGCTCCTCCCGCCCTCAGGCGGGAGAAGCTTCCAAGAAGAAGCGTGAGCTATCCTGCGTCCTAGGGGCTGACAAGTTTGTCCCTTACTTAATTCAGTAGGCACCTACTTATTTAAGTAAAGACGGGCTAAAAGAAAAAAACTACGGACATGGCCCGCATTCTCTCGGAGAATCGGTCCGCGCCGCCATGGGCCAAGCTTGACTCCGCTTGATGATTCGACGCTGCTGAGGGTGAAGGTGCAAACAGATTTCTAAAAGCAAGAATAAGCAAGATGGCTTGCCATTTTACCATTCACGATTATTCAAGACCATTCAAGGTCAGTATGTTCTTCAAAACTTTAATTTGCAGCTTGGTTTGGCTCGCAAGCTTTGCATGCTTCCCTGGGCCCTTTGGTGTGACATGTACAAATCTTGTCAGGGCATAGCATAGATAATTTTTGCCACATTTTGGGACCTTTTCCCCGGAATGTAAGTCCTACCGACAACCAAGCTCGCAACAATGCACCCAAAGTCAATCCATCACAAATCTCTTGGGCCATGCGATCTCGTTTAAGCCGCCGAGCAGGAAGTGGCTTGCATTCTGGAACAGCATGCTCCCATGTGGGTTCACACTGGACATGTCCTTTGCATGACAGGGAGATTCCGGCCACATCAAACCTTGAAGGCTGAGGGTCGCCTATCTGAGTGGAGCCAGGAGATGGTCACAATCTTTGTCTCCCAGCAACTGCAAGTGCTTCAAAGCATGTTGAGCAACCTGATCGCCAAGAACGTCAAAATCCAGAACGCTATTGCATCGCAGTTGTTGTCTTCTGCTTGCTGTTCTTCTTCTTCTTCTTCTTGCTTAGTTCTTTAATCTTGTTCTTGGTCTGTCCTTTTTTCTGTTTATTTTTCTTCTCGTCCTTCTCCTTCTCCTTCTTCTGTTTCTTTGCTTTGTCCTCCTTCTTCCTGTCTTCTTTCTGTTTTGTCTTTTTCCTGCTTGCTCTTCTTCTTCTTCTTCTTATCCTACTTCTGCCTTCCGTTTTTTGCTCCATGGACCACCTCCAGGAAAACCAAACCTGTGATCCAAGGGCTTGGATCACACACCCACCTTTTGATCCATACCCCATGGAGAGAGGTATGGATCGTGTGTGGGTTTGGGTGTGTGATCCAAGCCTTATGTTTCTGGCCGTAGCCATATAAATAAAGACCCTTAAGTAGCCTCTAGTTCAATTACCTCTCTCCTCGGGTTAGACGGTTTCTATCCTTCCACATGGGTACATCCAGCAGGAGTGGTTGCATGGTTGCCACAGATTAAGGGTGCAGCTGCTTTTCGCTCAGCTTGTCAGGGACCGGTGAGACAACTGTGAACAGTTACTGAGCAAGGTGTCGTTGATCGGTGTGGGATCTTGAAGAATCCATCGGAACTTCCGTCGGATTTTGTCCAAGGCGTGGTGCTGTTCAAAAAGAATTCACAATTGCAGGAGGGTCGGTCCTGCACCAGGGATAGGGCCCTGGACATCAATGCTCCTCATAATGCCATTGGTCTGGCAAAGTTAGTTGATGTTTGCTCTGCTTTCCAACAACAGCTGCACGTTCCTCAGATCATTGTTGGAGTCACCCGAAAACGCGATGCAGTGTAAAGGTGACGTGCTTGCAAGTCCTCCTGTTCCGCCACTCACGTCCGCTCACAGCTCCAGCGGCTTGGCCAGCACTTGGGATGTGGACCAAGGCCTTTGTGCTGCTCCAGTGGTTTGAAAAGGAAAAATCTGACCAAAACTCTTCAAAGCTGCGGCGCTTGCGCTTGCTAGAAAGACCCGCCATTTCTTCGAAAAGCGACAGTCGGAAGGCCGTCTGGCTTCTTGCCTGCCTTAAAGCTTAGACGATGCTTTGCAAGAGCCATCTGAATGATCCGATACATGAAGTGCAGTCCTTCTCGGCAAGGCCGCCCAAGTGCACAGGGTGTACCATACAAGCGAGGCGAAATTCACGGCACCTGTCACTACGATGACGGGACTCACTACGATTCTGATCGATTCTGGTAGGATGTTGCACTACAGTTCCGTCTGGGACCAGCCACGTTCAAGCCAGCTGTGGTAGTTGCATCTCTGTCCAGTGTCATCGTGCGTAGAGCTGGGTACCAAAGCGAGGAAAAGGTGGCTAAGGTCCACATAGCAAGGAACGCTTTTAACATACTGCAGCTGTTCATACGGCTGCTGCCGCTCCACTAGCTGCAGGACACAGAAGTAGTCCAACCAAATTTAGGCCTCACATATTCAGTAAAGCTCTGCCTCAATCAGTGTGCGACCGGCCTTCTCTAGACACTCGGGCGTCCAAAACAATCCGTCCTAGAACCAGGGAGACAAGCACAAGCCATTTTGTGAAGTCAGCCCACCAGTCGATCCTGAAATTAGTGACTTCCGCTAGTTTGTTTTTTTGTTCTTTCTCTCTTGGCTTGGATCAGCGCTCTGATCCATAGGGTTTGGATCACTCTCGCTGCAGCGCGGAACGATCCATACCAAAGGTTTCTGGCCACACCCATATACTGACAGTAAAATTGCAGTGTAGTGCTGATGCAACTTGCGACGCATCCAAGCACCACTGCTGGTTCTTTTGGGCATGTCTTCTTGCGGAATCCCATCGGGAGCTTCCTTCTATATAATTGTGTGAAATCGTCGAGCTACCCATCTACCTTTGCGGGGCTGGCTCCGTCTCTCAGTAGCATGAGCAGTTTGGCATACTCATAGCTCGAAACAGTAGCCCGCACTCATCCGGAACCCGATTTGTGCATGTAACCTCATGCAGGTACTTGTAACTTGATAGGTCAACGAACCTGGTCTAAGCTTACTCGGACCAGCCAGGTTCGAAGTCAAAAATTTGTTATTCAAAGTCTTTTTAGGCTTTCCCAAGTATTCAACAAAGTCTCATAAGAAGAGAATGACCAAACATGCAGCTTGAAAGATCAAGTCGACAGCTCCCAGGTCTTCCGAGTCTTCCGACCTCGCATCGTTCAGACTCCCAGGGATTCCGAGACTCTTGGCACTTGGGCACCGAGGCGCGGCCGCGATTGTGACATTTGTTTGTTCAATGTGTTTCTTCCAGGCGAGTCATGGGTATTGTTGTTTTTTGCCAATTTCATTTTTTTTCCACAATGTCCCTCTTACATTCCACCTCCAAGTGTGACTTGGCTCACTTGTGTGCAGTGGGTGAACTATGATAGACTCAGTCTCCTCAATCCGTGGCTATTTGGCTCGATTGACATTTCAGCCTGGTTTCTCCCCTCCTTTTTGGGATGACGTCATTCGTAGTGATGAAACCATGATACATTGGACCCACCAGCCAGACCTGTTAGTCCTACAAAGTCCTGCGAAGACTAACCAAACTTGTGAACTGCAGGTGGCTAACGGGGGTGACAGCAGGTAGGCAGAACCGCTGACTGCATTCGTGCTTCGGCCATGGAGGATCCAGAAGCTGAGATGAAACAGGGGCAGTCAGAGCGTTCAGAACAGTGAGCTATGTCTATGAGCTACTCAAAGAAAGCCGGCCAGTCATATACGATCCAGTTGAATATCAGAGAACCTCTGGATCTCAAGTGTTCGGCGCCAACGAGTGAGCCAGCCACCAATCTGTCACACTTGAACATGATAAACCTGGACCCAACACTGCATGGAGAGATGCAACGTTGCAAATCTACCACCGATCTTGAAGATGTGTTTAAAGTCCATGCCCATAGATAGAATATGATAGTATATATATATATATATACGTTACATAGTGTCAAAACTACGCCTGTGCTCGGCATTTGTTCTTATACACTGCGGATGTCTTTCAGACGAGCTCAGCTCATGTTCAATCTGGATTTGCCTCAACCGCCCTTGCTCCAACACAGTGCCCCCAAGGAATGTGTTGAGGCCCTCAACTCTGATGCGCCCATTTCGTGGCTTGGCGTCGTTCATTTGAGCATGTTGCGGAGCCATCCAAGAACTGGGACCTATGGCTGATGGCACACTGCACATAGTGGGACCTTTGGGGGGGCCAAAGTTGAGGGTGCAAAGTTCTGAACCAATCGGCTGATGGTGCAACACCATGCCTGTGGAGTGGTCGTTGGATTCTGTACACAGGAGTTGACTTGAAGGAGACATCCTGGTTTCAAGTATGTTGAAGTAGAAGCCAGTGTCCGTACTGCAGATCAACATCGATCAGTGCCCTGCACTTTCCAATTCGAACAAAGTCCCATTCCGCAACTCTCCATTCTTGTGAACCTTTTCTTCCGCAACTATTTGGTACTCTTCCGCAACTACTCTTCAGAAACTATTCTTCAAAAACTATTTTGCGATCTTCAGAAACTATTTTGCGATCTTCAGAAACTATTTTGCGATCTTGAGAAACTATTTCGCGATCTTCAGAAACTATTTTGCGAGATTTTGCGATCTTCAGACTTCAGAATTTATTTTTCACAAACTTCAGATCGACACTTATTTGCATGCTTTAGAAAGTATTCTTCAGAACTTTCACAATATTGTAACCAAATTGCATGAAGGAGCACTGGGTGGGTGGGTGTTGGGTGGGTGGGTGGGTGGGTTATTGACGTACCTTGTGACGGCTAAGGTATAATATAGCGCAATATAGCATATACATGCCTATTTTACGGTCTGCAGTCTGCAGAAACTTTTTCGTGCAGGCTTGATGTTGCTCTTCGACTCGTAGTTCCGAACATTAGTTTCTGAAGAAAACCGTAGAGCTTCCGCAGATTAGTTTCGGAACAAAGCCGGAAAACATCCGAAGACTGGTTCCCGAAGCAAACCGTAAAGTTTCCGAAGATCACTTTTCAGTTTCCGAATAAAACTTTGACCTTTCCAATTGGGTCGAAGACCCTGTAGGCGATCCGGTCGCCTTCACGATTGAAGTCTGGGACCACACTGACTAGCTTTACCCAGTACTTTACCCACCCTCGCTTCTATTGGGGCACTGTTACCATCTGAGGCGGTGGGAGTCTGCGAATTTCCTTCCCGCCCTCCAGCGGGGCGCAGTGCGAACCTTTCTGATCCTCTCGGTGCGGGCGACGTGTCATTCGGTGGCCGATGGGTCGACCACTTGGTAAATCTGTGTCTTACCGTGTGCCGCCCGGGTTTACAGTGGAAAGGTCATGGGTGCTATCTGCTATCTTGAATCTTGAGAGAAAAGCAGCAATGGGGGGTACCCCCAGGAGCTCACACATCCATTTTGTAGGACAATGTTGTACGCCCGACTGATGGATTTCTTCCTGAATCAGGCTTACCAGTTTCAAAGGCATTTCAAAGTCAATTGAAGCCTCAGAGGCGCTATGGAGGTTGCAAGGGTAGGTGAACCCTGAGGACAGACAACCAGATTCGCGGCAGGTGCAAAAACCACCCGAGCGGGTCCATGCAGCCAATCATGAGTTTTTCCAATGCGGGAACCAGAGAGGAGCGTTCGTTGAAAATGGATCATGAAGGGGCTTAGCACACGCAGCAGGGTAGCAAGAAGCTACTAGTAACAAGTGCATTGTTTCTTTTTTTAAATAAGTGCATCGCTACTAGTAGGTAGAAGCTAGTATATATATATATATAGCCTATAGCTGGATTTAGATCGATCCGCAGGTGCTGGGACTCCTGGCTCTCCTGTGCAGATCTCCGGGCGCGGGCAGAACTGCGTTGCGCTGGGCGCCGGACGCGGCGATCGCAGAGTGGTCGGGCCCCATGAGCAAGGACGAGGCATGGCACGTGTGGAGCGCGTGGCACGTGTGCCACACATGCCACCTGTGGCATGGGCGTGACTTTTCGGTGGTGAGGTCAATGGAGGTCATGGTGTGAGGGTGGTCCAACATCACTTCCTTGGAACATCCAACCAACTGGTTTAGCAGCATTAGGGCATTAGGGTGCTTTCTACTCATTCTACCTACTCTCTATATCTGCACTGTTGTGGGCTTTCAAGATCTAATCCTGGAAAGACATTGTCCATTGACCGGTGCCACCTGTTTTTACAGTTGGGAATGAGGGTGGCTAATCTAAACAGCCATTTGATGCCATTTGTATTGCATTCCCAGGATTGGGTTACTAATGAGTACCGTTGAACACCTCCAGGCCCTTCCAACCTGCCACCCTACCCACCTGCGAGGTCTTGCCGATGAAAAAGTGGGCGAAGGCACTGGGGAAGAACGCGGATTTGGAAAGATGTCTACTCTACTATAATGTTACCCTCTCTCTCTCTCTTTCTTGTCTTTTCTTTTTCCCGAATGCGTAGCGAAGGGTTCTCGTTTAACTCTGGGGGTCTGGGGGTAGAGTCTTGTTCGCGATCCGTTGTTTCTATGTTCGCAACCGTCCGCAACCGTCCGCAACCGTTCGCAACCGTTCGCAACCGTTCGCAACCGTTCGCAACCGTTCGCA